CGGGCAAGAGCAAAATGGATGTGGATGATGACAGGGTAAACCAAACACCAAAGCTTCAATACAATAGTCATTGGGTGGGCTGGCAGCCACAATGCCCTGAACACATGTTCCGGCAGCTGAATTGGCATGAATGTCATTCTCTCGTTCCTTTTTGCCCTCTTCTGCTACCTTTACCTCTGGCAAGAAGCAACAAAGATTTGCCACAGAGAAGCATCCGTTCGCCACATCCTCAGCAGCAAAATGAGCATGTTATGCCTGGCGATACTTGAGAAGTGCGCATTTTTGGTTGCAGTGTTTCCCGTTTTGCAGCAGGGATCGGGTTACAATTCACCATGGAGAGGAGCATGCCCCATCAGCACGTGGGAGCTCATCAGTATGGGTGATGGGATAAAGCATTGCCTTCCAGATGTTCCCAAGCTTGACCATCACCGTCATGGGGGAGATTTCCTTCAAAGGCATTAATTTGGCATGCAGTTAGCCAGAAATCAGATGCTGTTTAGCAATCATGGCCATAGGGTTGCAGACATGTGCTAGCAGCAAATAGTCAGCAGAATTCTGGTACAATCAGATGAGGGGTTATTATCCCCATTGCCACAGGCACACTCCGTTCCAACCCTGCATCACAGGCATGCCTCTCACAGCCAAAATCGTGTTCCATTTCGGACTAGGTTGACCATGCTGTTGGGCATACATATGATGTTGCAGACAGCCCTCCGTTCTTGAGCCAACACCAGCCGCGTCACTGATGCATTAGCACAGCAAGCCATCAACCACATGACCTGCGGGACAGAGCCCTCTCTCCAGATGGGCGTCGGGGTGGACTAAGGGGCCACTGCGACACCCGAGTCACATGATGGATAGAGCAGAGCCAGTGAGGCAGTAGATGAGGAGCTGTGCTGCTAAATAAGTCGTACCACCTGTGCCAAGAAGAAGAGATGCTGTGCTCCCTTACAAACTCCAACTGTGAGTGTGGCCTTAATTTTTCATTACATTTCTGTTCAAATTTGTTTTTGTTCAACGAGTTCAATTTGTCCGACTCGCTCAACTTGTTTCATGAAATGCAGTAGGCATCCAAAATTGGTCCACATTCACATTTCAGTAAGAAGGGGCCGCTGAAGAGGACCATCGTTTCAGTCAGAAGGGTGCGTTGAAGAGGACCATAGGGTGCAGTACAAACATTGCAGGGGAAATGGAATGCTGATGGGGGTTGTAAAAGGGTTTACATACCCTTTCGGGTAGAGCACGAGTTTCAACAGGGGTTGCGAAATGCTTACCGCACACAGTAAGGGTTAAAACGACTGGGGACTGCAATATGCTTTACACCCCCGTTGAGGTCAAGAAAGCAGATCAACGGGGGTTACAAAAATTGCTTTTACTACACAAGTGGACCTTCCGCAGCAACGCTGCGGCGAAGGACGATGACAAAAACATTTTGCGAAACACCCCAGCCATCAGTTGGACCCCATCTTTGCAATGTACCCGTAACGGACACTGCTGCCAAGTTTTCCAAGGTGCAATTGCAAAAGGCCAAGCGAATTTGCACACCCGCCTGACAGGGACATAACACAAACATGTCAGCCGAAAAGGCCATTCGACTGTGCCCATATCTATTAGGGACATTTTGACATATATCTCAACTTATTGGGGTAGTAAACATCAGAAAGATGGGTATCAGCATAGAAAGATGTATTGATGTACCGTGTGTGTGAGTGTGTGTTTGTGTGTGTGTGTGTGAGAGAGTGAGAGAGAGGGCACTTCCATCGATAGGGTGAGCAAAATCGAATGAATCTACCGATAGAACATGGAAATATACACTGCCACACTTGTTTGTATGTGTGCGCGC